TTTAATTGCCCTATGAAAACTAATGTTCATGAAATATCGTTCATAAAATATTAATGAAATAAAAATGTTTCAACCATCAATCTCAGAAATATATTGTTACATTTCATTAATTATACAATCTGCTAAAACTGTATATATTTGGGGGCTGGAGATTTAGTTCAGTGGTTTCACCACCTGGCTGCGCAAGCGCAAGGACCAGAGTTCGATCCCCGGTACCAAAAAAGAAAAATGTAAATATTTGGAAAAGAAAACTTTATACAAATATTTTAATACTAAATTTACTGAAACATCATGAGGTTAATTCAAGTTACCCTTGGCCTCTACAATTACAAGAATTGCTTAAAGTGGTTTTCATTAGCTTCCAGACATTTATTAGTACAGCAAACTGCTGAAGTATGTATACATTTTTTTTGGCATACTCTCTATTTATCATTTTTACTTTTCATTGCTTAATTTTCATCACTGTAAATTTGGACAAATTCTGAAAGTTCATATTTTAATAATAAAAATATTATTGTTCATAAATTAATAGAGCATTAGTTAATTGTCCTTAAATAAGTTTGATGTATTGAATTTATATATTGCCTTTCTTGATATTGGAATACTTATTTTTTACAACAAAAATGGAATTATTGCTGATTTCCTATGCATACATGAGTTGAATTTCTTCAGATAATATTTATGTTTCTTGTTTGCCCATAAAGACATCTGGATACTCATCAGAAGTGTAAAAATCCCAACTAGAAAAAAAAGAAATAATTATCTTTTTTTATTCCTATGATGGATGCAAGATATATTAGAAGATGGCACACTCTATATCTAAACTTTAAAATATTTTTCAAGTGTTGTCTAAGTTCTCATCAGTTTTCCAATACTTATGGCCTAGCATATGTTCAATCAATATTTATTATATGGAAGAATAAATATAAAAACACTTAGTAATGTTCATTTTTCAAAAAATGTTACCATAAAATGCTTTCAAAAATGAATTTTTCACTCTTTTGAACTATTTCAATATTTTCCACATATATGTAATATCCCTTTATACTTATGAATGCATACATATATAAGCCACATTAATTATAATCCAAAATTGTTATACAATAGAACAACAAATAGATGAAATGAATATAACATGTATACCTCTTAATACGGAGAGCTCATGTAATTCAGCTTTCTATTATGCATTAAAAGGCCCAGTATTCAAGACTAAAAACTCAGGCTCCCCAGGTCTACTTTTGCAGGTTCTCCTGGATAATTAATAAAACATATACATATGCCTGCACACTTGTACAGGAGAGAGATTCATGTGAAATGCATAATTGCTACTACTTCCATTTAACAAAATCTTATTGCTTAATAATTGCATTTAAATTAAGTATCCTTGTTTGGATCAAGCAGAAATTATGTAGAGTTAAATAGAAATGATACTTCAATATTTTTAATACTGCTAAAAATCAGAATCAAAATAAAACCATAAAATCCTTGCGCCTTAGTAGTAGAGTAACTTATTCTCAGAAATCAGTCCCTCTGCTGTGCTTGGAGTTCTGCTCACTTTGAGTAAATGTCATAAACATAGGCCTTACCTGGCAGTGTTTGTGTCATGATCGTGAAACTAATCCATGATCCAATCTATTATATTGAAACAAAAATAAACAAATATTCCAGTAATTATTTCACTTGTGACATTAGATAGATATTAAAACATGAGAAAAGATATAAGTAGAAATAAACTTTCAAAAAATGATAATTTAATTTTTACATTCAACAGTCATTTAACTTCCATAAAATAATATGATATTCATAAGTGAACAGAGAATACCATTTTAAAGATTGAAAAATAAAATTTCTGAAAACTTTCAAAATGTTTTATATAATGATTGAAAAAAATCTTTCTTAAATATAAATGCGTTTATGCTCATGTATTTCTTTAGTTTCAAAGAAAATTGTGCTACTTTACTATCCCTGTAACTTGAATAGAATGTATAGCTCTGCACTTATATCTATCGATAATAAATAAATAGATATATTTTATCACATATACTATTTTATAATACAGGAAAACACATACAATGTATTTAGTATGTAATCAAGTACTTAAAACTATTTATATACATGAATAGCATACCTCATATGTGTAGTTTGGACATGAAACCAAGAAAAACATCCACGTGAAGGGGTTATAATTTGGACTTGGGAAGCAGGCATTATTTCCTTTTAGAAAGGAGAGTAAATTGTCAATGATGCTACACATTGCAAATGTGATCATATGCTTATTATATAATTCTAAATCCCAAGAACAGCTACACACCACACAAAATGTCATGCGATATTTTTAGCAATCTATTCAATAAATTGCTCAGAAGAACCCCATTTGAAATGTTATGACCTTTGACTCAAAGAATATTTGTCATTTCTGAACGTGTCTACAGTTCTGTTGCTGTAAAATTGCATAACGCATAAGGGAAATCATTTTCTTAAGATTTCAAATAGAATAATATATAAGATTTATTTCATATATCATCACAGCTTTAGCAGTATTACAGACTGACTTATAAATGTGCTTTGACAGCTGCATACCTCTTCACATTCTCCATCAGTGTGAGAGTCCATGTATTTGGTTGAGATTATTGAATGCCTCACAGCTTTCTTTGTATTAAAGTAGTGAAATCCAAAGTGAATTTCATAAGAACATCACTTATGTCAGAAGGCTGTGAAAATCTCACATAAGCTGATTAAACTGAATCATATAGCTAACATTCACTAATACCACATAAATTATTTCTGCTCAGCAATCAGGAATGTTATTCATAGCTCTCATTATATTTGGTGTATTATTACTTGATTTTTGTTATTTTTCTCCTTGTAAATTTTTTCAAGAAACATTTTAGAAAATAAATTTATAATGATTTCAGTTTGAACTTTGAGACATGACATTTGTAAAAATAAATATGAATTATAAAATTACATTTTATTCTCCTAGCAAGATTTAATCAGGTAACAAATCTACTAATCTCTTTAAGTTATAACTAAAGTCATAATGAAATGTCAGTATGTTATTTTCAAAATTATAACTCTGTTTGAAATATCAAGTAATGCATTAAGTACTGTGCAGATTTCATATACTGCTCATTTCAAGATAAGAATACATACACCACTTAATACTACTGATTCTTTTATGACATTATGAAAACACCTTTGTGTGATGTTCATATATGAATCAAAACAAAGATAACTGAGGGCCCTATTCATTTTATGTTTATTGAATTCCAGAGCTGGAAGATGAATATAGCAGAAGCCAGGCCTAAACATCTAGTTTATGAGTTTTCAGTCCCTGGAATGGGAACTATCAATTTCTTCCAGATGTAGTTGCATATTAAATAATGAATATGTCTTATGACAGAGAAATATTTGTAAGTGCATAATGTTCTTCAAGTGTGCATAGTTGCTGTTAATTGTAGTAATGTATAAATTTATGGATCATTATTTTAATATTTACCTTCTCCATGAAATATTTCCTCAGCCTACAAATATTATGGTAGAGTTTCTATTATGTGAAAGTTGAAATTTTTACAGTAAAATGCTGCACTGCCCAAATTCATCATTGGGTATAATTGGCTATTTCTTCTGTTTTATGGAGTGCTTCTGGCAGGAAACCTTCTGCTCCCAGCATGTCTTATAGGGATTTCATGGCTGAAGTCAGGAACCACAGTCAACACTTCCTTATTGGTTTAATCTTAATTCATTATTTCATCCATATGGGAAATTTATGACTTAATTTATGACTCAAAATTGACTATTCATCCTAGCTTTAGACTGTTCCATGTGTGCACTGTAGATGGTTATTTAGATGGTATTGCTGTCATTTTCTTATCTAAACATGATTATTTCTTCCTCTTCATAAAGTCACTCCTCTGTAAGCCTGTGAGCACCAGCCTCCACCTCAGCATCTGTTCTCAGAAAACCATGACCTCCAGCAGTCAGTACAATTGTGGCTCAAGAAGCAGCTGCTTGAATGACTTTTTGAGTTAAATGACATGCTAGAGACTCACAATTAGCAACTCATTTTTGCTGTAAAATTCAAAACAGTGAGTTGTGGGTACAGAGTGGCAGGGCAAGTGTGAAACCTTTTGCTAGTGGTATACTAATATATTCTACTGATCGAAGGGAAGGCTTTATTCAGTCCACTACAGAAAGTGGAATTAAACAGCACTTTCTTTCTATGAGTGTTCTTGACAATGGTAGCTAGCAATTAAGCAAAAAAGCCAAATATGACCACTAAATGATCTTTTTGGAAACACTTATTTGGTTTTTATTATTTTGTTTTGTTTGTGTTTTCCTTTTTGTTTTATTTTGCTTTTTGAGTCAGAGTCTCACTATGTAGTTCAGGTGGACCTTGAACTCGCTATCTAGCCCAGGCTGGCCTTCAACTTGCAGTGATCCTTCTGCTCCAGCCTCTCCAGTGCTGAGATTATAGCTATGTACCACCTCACCCAGCTATTCCTTGAAAGCACATAAAGAGGCTCTAGTTTTCTGCAATAAAAAGTCAGAAAAATGGAGACTGGGTCCAGTACCTAACTGCAAACATAATCAAACTCCAAAGAATAAATATGCAACTCCCTTTTTATGGCTGAGTGGTACTCCATTTTATAAAAAAAAACATTTTCTTTATCCAGTCTCCAGTTGATGGGCATTTGGGCTGTTTCCAAGTTTTAGCTATTACAAACTATGCTGCTATGAACATGGGTGCACATATGTTACTGTGGTATGATTCTTTTAATTCTTTGGGGAAGATATCCAGCAGAGGAATAGTGGGGTCAAATGGGACTTCCAGTCCTAGTTCTTTGAAGTGTCTCCATACTGATTTCCACAGTGGTTGCACCAGTCTACAATCCCACCACCGGTGGAGCAGGGCTCCTCTTTCCCCACAGACCTGCCAGCATTTGTTACTGGTTGATTTCTTGATAGCAGCCATTCTTTGTGGAGTGAGGTGGAATCTCAGTGTTGTTTTCATTTGCATCTCTCGAATGACCAGTGATGTTGAACATTTTTTCATGTATTTATTTGCTATTTCTACTTCTTTGTCTGAGAAATGTCTGTTCATTTCAGATGCCCGTTTTTGGATTGCGTCTTTAAATTTGGGAGGTCTGATCTTTTTAAGTTCTTTATAGATTTGAGATAGTAGGCCTTTGTCTCAGGAACACCAGGTGAAGATTTTTTCCCACATTGTGGGTTGTCTCTTCACATTGCTGTTGGTTTCTCTTGCTGTGCAGAAGCTTTTTAATAAGAAGAGATCCCACTTGTTGATTGTTTGTTCTAGTTCACAGGCAACTGAGGTTTTGTTCATAAAATCTTTTCCTACACCAATGTCTTCAAGAGTTCTACCAAACCTCTGTTCCAATTGGTTCAGCATTTCTATTAGAGACATTTATAGCTAAATGGATGCACATTGAGGCGATACTCTTAAGTGAAATAAACAGGGCACACGTGTAAATACCAAATAGTTTCTCTGGTGTAAGAAACTGAAAGTGTAAATAAGGACTAAATTTATAATAGGTAATGTGGAATTGGAAAAAAAGAGTCAAAGGGGAAGGAAGTGGGAGGGCTAGGGGAAAGGAAAGAAGGGAATGAGATTAATATGAGAAAATGGAAAAATAGGAACAAAATCTTTGTAAATAGGGAGGGATTGAGGGGTTGAAGGGAGGGCTGGGTAAGGGTGAAAAATAAGAACCAAGAGAGACTATGTAAAGGTGCAAATTTCCAATGATGAATGTCATTATATTGTATACCTAAAATGTACCTATGATTAGAATGAATAATAGATAATGCAAAAATAGGAAGAAAAGGTCTATAGGGGTAGGGGTAGTGGGAGGGGCAGGGGAAAGGAAAGAAGGGAAAGGAAAAATGATGAGAAATGGAAAAACTGGAAATAAAGTCTTTGTAAATAGGGAAGGGTGGAGGGGGTGAAGGGGGGTGTAGGAAAGGGGATAAAATAAGAACCAAGATGCATCATGTAAAGGTACAATTCCCAATGTGAAATGTAAATGTGTTGTATACCTAAATTGTACCAATAAAAGAATTTAAGAAAAAAATATATACAACTCCCATTCCAAGGCAAAGTCATTATCTGAAAATATCATAATATCTATCTAGGCCTTCATGAACTTCCCAATACTTATGGAAATCTTCTCCTTCCCGCCAATACAGAGGACATATTACTACAAGAATAGATTTTTTACATCTCCACTCATAGCTTTTAACAATATCCAGTTTTGTATTACTTTATAGGCTTCCTGAGGTGTTTTCCAAGTACAGCTAATAGAAAAAGCGATTATACCCCAAAGGAGATGCAAGACTTAGCCAGCATGATCCAACAATCAATAGCACATATACATTATTGGATTCAAAAGGTGATTGATAGGAGGAAAAAATACTAGAGTGGATAAAAGAAGGTTTATGGTTTTGAAGGACTCTCCTCATGAGTGAGATTAAATATTCTGGTGAAAACACAGTGCTAAAGTGCACCTTAAAAATTGTACAAAGAAATGACACATAGTAATGAAGAAAAAAATGCTAGAATTTCCATGGCAGGCAGGTAAAGAAGGAATTAAGAGATTAGAGAAATAGGAAATGGTTTCGAGAAATAGGTTTCCTAGAGTAGGTTATCATATAAGGCTGAAGACAAGAAGCCCCTTTCTATGCAAGTAAAGGTTTTCCTCATGTGCCTAATTCCCTGGTTCTTTCCCATGCTCCATGGGAGGGCCAAGAGGAGTCACTGTTTCTTAAAGCTTTCTGAAATGTTTTAGTGAAAAGGCTCCATCATCAATAAGATTAGTGCTATATCTGGCTGACTGTAGTGATATGTCATTTAGAACCAGTACTAGAGGTGATTGGGATTAGAGGATCTCTCCTCTTTGTCCAAAATGAAACCAGTTGGAGTAACAGCGCAGACAGCCCTATGCCACAATGAGAAAGTTTGGAAGGGGCTTGATCCACACAAAATTATGCCTGGCCATAGAATACAAAGTCTCTAAAGAGTACATAGTTAATAACCAGCAATGCATTGTGGAATTAAAACAAATAAAATAATTATAGATCAACAGTAAGGAAACTTGGAGAGACTCACACAATACAAAGCTAATTATCCCCTTCCCAGGTTTTAGAATTAAGTTAATCATAAGATTCCAAACCCACTGATGAAAAATAGTCTGGGATACTAGGAAAAAAGACATTACACACAAAAAGATGTGTATGTGTTATTTGCATAATCTTTCATTAAAGTACGCCACTAAATTGACTATAGTCATTTATTCAGGTCATTCATTTTCTATGTGATAGAGAATGCAAAGTAACTCTACATGTTGAAGACTTTTACAGAAATTAGTTCCAGTAGGTGCACAGTGGTCTTCTCCACAGACCATGATACACAGTTTGTAGCTTGCAAATGTTCCACATGGTCTTGGTTTCATGATCTTTGGAGCACTAGCTATGTCAATGAGAAAAGTCACTGGAAATCTCTGAACCAACACATGTTCTTCTGTAAGACAATATTACATCCCAGGAAAAGATTACTTGTCACACTCAAGATCACTCTCCTTGTAACGGGATCATACTCAGGACCTTGTGTTTGCCAGTCAGGCATTGTGCTGGCCAACTCTCCTTTAAGATGAAATACAAGGATGAAGTAGTTTGAGCTCAGTTCAGAGATTAATTGGCTGGTATGTGGATATAAAATAAAACCAAAATAAGGCACATAGTCCCTTTATAGACATATTTAGTTAAGTGTTTCTAACTATTGTTACCTTTTAAAAAATCTGATAAATAGGCTTTTAAAAATAATTATTATCAAAATTCACTCTAGGGTAGATAAAAAGAAAAGTAAACTAACCTGTGTGATTGGGATGAGCCAATATTACATTGATGAAATGATTCCCAGCTTCACAAATCTACAAAACATATTAAAACTTTCAGTATGATATAGTTGTGGCTGTTTTAAAAATGTATGATAGATATACATATAATCCTTGTAATATATTAATTCCAAATTGAGGAAATAAATTTTAATTTAAGAAGAGGAAAATTATAACAATGCAAGAAGTTGTTGAATCCAACATTGCTAGTCACAATTAGACTTTTTTCTCAATATTGGTGTTCAACCATAGGGATCACTGAGTAACATCCCTAGTCCTTTCGATTTTTTATGGGTCTCAATAATCTGCTCAAGTTGGCCTGGAACTTCACAATCTTGGCATGCCAAGTAGCAGGATCCCAAAGAGTGCTACCACCTTGGGCCACAGCACCTACTTGTTTCAAATTCCGATGATATTCTTAACCCATTTTGGTAACAGGCTCAAACTGGCTAAGTAGCGAGGTAATTCTGGTGATCAGCGTTGTACTTGTCCCTCTGCGTGGTTTTCTTACCATGAAGAGATGGTGAATGTTGCTGAGGCCAGAATTCATGCAAGTGTGTATCCTCAGGTTGCTAACACAGAAATATTTCCAGTCCAAGGTGCTTGTTTGATTCGGAGCTGGTTTCAAGCTTAGTTTGGAAGACCTCTTGTGAGCAGTGCTTGCCCATGGATGCACTTACTGCTTGTCTCACATCTGCTCTCTTTATTTGCTAATAAATAATATTCTGCTAATTATCCTATTCATAGGCCACTGTGACCTTCTAAGAAAATCAAAAGTTTGTCACAAGCTCCTAGAACTAATAATATTCCCAAATTATTGTATTTTATTTTATTCCCAAATTATTATAGTTATTATATTGTGTATTTTTTGAAGTTAAGATGTTTCCTTTGTCATATTTAGATAACCTGATACAATACAAATTATGTGTGAAAAAAGAAATACTTTTTAGGGGCTGGGGATTTAGCTCAGTGGTACCGAGCCTGCCTTGCAAGCATGAGGTTCTGAGTTTGATTCCCAGTACAAAAGAAAAAAAAAAGAAAAAAAAGTACTTTTTTATTCATAACAGATTATGTTATGTAAAATCTTTTTTTAGTCACTCAAATTTTATTTCCAATATATCCTGAAAGTTGAGTATAATTATAACTTAGTGTTTTTAATGTTTTATTCTCTTAAATATATTTAATATTCTTACTGTTCTTTTCAGCTGTTTCTTTACACATTTATTTCTTCACATATACTAACAGCTCCACGGACATTAATTTCTGTATAACACACACTGAATAACTGTCATATATTTCAGCAAAATCCAAATTTAGGAAAAAATAACTTGAAAAAGAAAACAAAAATCCATTTCTCATCATCATATACAAAAATGCAATTTGAACTAATCAGCTTCAATAGGTTAATTCTCTTGTTAGACACTGTTAAGAATGAGTGCAAATGCATTCAAACAATATTAGAAGATCAAGAACATAATCTAAGTACTGCTTTCACACAAAAATAATTGGACAAAATAGATTAAAAGACTTCTGGTTTCTCATGTTATTAGGAAGACAAAGCTAACTTTTTTATGTTCAGATAATAATTTGTATATATGTTTTTTACACATGATTGTGGGTTCAAGTGTGGGATTTTGATCTTATAGACCTTTAATTTCCTCCCACAACTCTTATGTACTTATTGTGACAGAGTGAGAAAGTATATTAGAAATTTGAAATTTTGTTTCTTCACCTAAATACAAATATTAATTCTTAACTCTATGAAATATTCTGATGATTAAATGAAGTCAAGTATCTGACACTTACTATTTGGTTAATAAAATAAAGATAGTTTTAGTTAACAATGTAACAATAAAGATTTGACTTGTTTCACTTTAGTCTTCTTTGAATTACAGCAGGATACTAATTATTATTATTGTTTGATTGTTTGTTTGTTTGATACTGGGTATTGAACTCAGGACCTTGAGCCTGTGAGGCAGGCGGTGGCACCACTGAGCTAAATCCCTGGCCCAGGATACTAATTATTGAAGAGCTCATGCTTTTATCCTGGATAAATATGAACTATGAAATTGACAACCAATGTAATTGAAAAAATCATAACATTCTCACTTAAAAGTAATCTTTTTCTTAAATGCTTTCAATTAGGGCTGGGGATTTAGCTCAGCGGCACTGCAACTGCCTGGCAAGTGCAAGGCCCTGAGTTCAATTCTTAGTACAAAAGCAAAATGCTTTCAATTAGAAAAACACTTTAACTTCTTCTAGAATCCTCCTTTCTCAAAGTTCCGTAACATTTTGTTTTAATAACTAATACTAAATATTTAACACAAGACAAATAAGCTAGATGTCAGATTAACAAGTCCACATGAGACTTTGGTTAATATATTAGAAATAATGTATCATGCATCAGTGTGCCATAAAAATTTACCTGAATATATCTCCTATTTAATCTAATTTTACTCAGATTCAAAAATATGATTGTATCAGAACATATGAGGTTTCAGTAGTAAATATTCTCACTGTTTACTACTGCTATATTTTATTGGTCCGTAGCATACTTTCATTGCAGATTCCAATGACCAATGACCATTGACAAAACAGATATTGACGGAGACCAACTTGCAGTGATCTATTTTTATATTATTTCTAAAATATATATATTTTATATATTGTTCTTCCATAAAAGCTTCATCAGTTAAACTATTTCTTCTTTAAAGGTCTGGAAATGATTTCTCTATAGAACCAATTCCAAAGTCTAACCATTCTAATGAAGAATATGGACTCACTGAATACTCAGGCTTTGTCTTTTTGTTTCAGAAATATTCTTTAGGCTCCCACAATAAAAAAAAATTAGTCTTTATAGTGCAATCACATAATATTTTGTAAAAATGAAAATTATCTCTTTTATCATTCACTATTAATCATTCACTATTAATGTTATCACATTATAAATGAATTACTATTGTTATTACTGTTAATGCGACACATGCAATATTTAATTTATAATTTTATCATTAGAGCAATAAGTGGTATCTTATTGATTTAACTGAAATCTAGAATCTACAAATTTTTTCAACCATGCATCTTTAGTTTTTTAAAAAGTCTCATCTATTTTATTTTCTTTATAACCATGGTAATAATGATAACACCAATAGCATGTGTTATTTATTTTGGTCTCAACAACATTTCAAAACTAAGATAATATCTTGGTGAACATGGTTACAGAGCATTTCATCTGTGAAATTCATAAATATTTTGATGTGTGGAAAGCAGTTTCAATCTCAGTAAAAAATGCGTATTCATATAGGGTGAAATGCTATTTGACAACATATTACACTATTTCAATATTCACATATCTCCTATCTTATGATAATTTAGATTATTATGCACCTAAAATCATTAATTTCCCAATGCCCAATCTCTACACTTTTATTATAAAACCTCCTGTTATACTTCCAACTTTTTCATACAAACATCTTTCTGATAAGATACATGTGTTTCAGAAAGAAAAATTTCATAGGTTATTTATAGCTTTAACAGAAAATATGTGTGAAATGAAAGATTTTAATTTTGAAAATGAATAATGTTATGAATTTAAATGAGTTGAAATATTGTCTTATGTCAAATAATATAAGCACTGCATATTAATAACATTTTATCAATTCTTACATGAAAAATTATTGCATAAACTTTGCTATGAGCCTATATTTTCAATCAATAAATTATAACTGATGGCCTTTGATGTTGAAATTGATTCAACATTTAAGAATTTTTCTTCTTTACTTTTATGGTCCATCTCTTTACCAACATTTTGGTACTACCTAAATTAGTTTTTATTCCATAGATATTTCACGAAGTATTGTGTAATATGAGATAATAGATAAATAGTATAAGAATAGTACTATACATTAATTTTTTTAAGTATAGAGAAATTATTTACATACAGTGGCTCTGGAATAAATGCTCATTAAATCACCGTGGATTTTTTTCTCATTCTCTCAGGAATTTTTTTTAAAATTAGCTTTAATATTGTCTATTAT